CCGTGGCTCCGGGCCAGGATCGGCCAGCCGGCTGTGCCACACGGCCATCGATCCCCAGGGGCTGGGGCTGGCTGTTGCAGGGCTGTATCTTTGACAGGCGCACGGCGAGAGGGCAGCCTTGTTCACAACTCCCCCTGCAGCTGGGCACAAGGTGCCCTTAGGGGTGTGAACTACAGCCCGTGGGCCATACCTGGTCTGCGAGCCCCTCCTGTGCAGCCCCCTGCCCCTCGTACCTCCCCCGCAGCCTCAGCCTGCCACACTGCCAGCCCTGGTGCTCCGGACGGCGGGGCAGGGACAGTTGGGGGGCTGGACAGAGGCAGGAGGTCCTGAGGGTGGTCAGGGGGCTGGAGGGCAGACGGGAAGTGCTGGGGGGTGGGAAGCAGGGAACGTGGGGGTTGAATAGGAAGTGGGGAGTCTGGGAGAGCCAAGAGGCAGAGCGCAGGAGGTCCTATGGGAGAGGGAGTTCCCCCCCTGGCTTCCCTACCCAGCCCCCTCCATACAATTTCTGAACCCCCATGTGGCCCTCAGGCCCGGCCCAGCCTACAGTCTCAGAAGTCCAGTGGCAGCAAGAAGCGGGGGGGTCTTGGCAGATTCTGGGTCAGTGAGAAAGGAGCCTTCAGGGTGGGTAGGAGACCGGCGAGCGCTGCTGAGCACAGTAACTCTCCCCCAGGCCCAGGGCACAAGGCCGCTCCCGCCCCTCCTCTTACCGCGCCCCAGGCAGATCGGAAGCAGGGCCGGGTGGGCAAGCAGCGCGCGGGGGACCGCGAGGAAGCGGGCACGTCTGCAGTGCCGCTGTCCCTGTGCTGACCTGCTCTTGCGAAGGGAGCCTGAGTACGTGCGGCAGGGAGCCCGGGTGGAACGCCACGCCGGGGTCTGCCCAGACCGGGGCCGGGGCGCCGTGGGACGGAGCTGTCTGGGCTGGCCGGGTCGCTGATGGAACGGGAGGTAGCAGGGAGGCGGAAGGAGAGGTCGTCCGACCAGGGGTCCCCATGCGCGCCTGACAGAGAGCAGTGCCCAGCCCGGACAGATCCCGGGGGCAGGCGACTACCCCCAGGGCAAGGCAGGCGCGCTCCGCTGCACTCACCATGCTCCCGCAGAGCGTGTAGAACCACTGCACCGTCTCGTTGTGCTCGATCACACCCAGCATCCCGTCCACGAACAGCATGATCTGACTCAGCGCTGCGAGGGAACGAGCCGTCAGAGCCCAGTGCGCGGGGCTCCCACCGCCCCACGGCCATTGGGGGCAGGCCCGGCCCGTCACCCACCTCGCAGGATGTAGTGCTGGTAGTTCTGGTCGGCCTCTGCCCCCACTTTGATCAGGCACGTCAGCCCCTCCGAGTTGACGAACTCCGGCACCAGGTCTTTGTCCTCACTCAGCGCTGCGAGGGAACGAGCCGTCAGAGCCCAGTGCGCGGGGCTCCCACCGCCCCACGGCCATTGGGGGCAGGCCCGGCCCGTCACCCACCTCGCAGGATGTAGTGCTGGTAGTTCTGGTCGGCCTCTGCCCCCACTTTGATCAGGCACGTCAGCCCCTCCGAGTTGACGAACTCCGGCACCAGGTCTTTGTCCTCCTGCAGCAGAGAAGAGTGCACGTGGCACCGCCTGAGGGCCCCAGACCCCGCAGCGCTGGGGGCAGGAGGCCGAAGAGCAGCCCCCACTAAGGCGGGGCTGAGGGTGAGAGAGTCCAAGGGCTACCCAGGCCCTGCAGCTAGGGCAGACTTGGTCGGGCAAGGGGCCGATGCCAGCTGTACCCTACGGGGCAAGGTGGGGGGGAGCAATGGGAGGACCGTTACCGGCTGTGCCTGTGCTGTACCTTGGGTCTCTCGAGCCAAGTCTTGATTGAATTTCCCCAGGAACGTATCAGTGTTTGTCACAGTAAAAACCAGGGCAAAACTGATGTGTCTGGGTAAAGATCCGGGCTAACGTGACCGGAGGATGGGGGAGTATTCAGCGGATCAAGGCCTTGAATTGTGTCCAGCTGCTTTTTGTAAAAATCCGGGAACGTGTCATTACAGATCGGTTTACGCTGCAAACGAAGGGGGAATTTCCCCAGGAACGTATCAGTGTTTGTCACAGTAAAAACCAGGGCAAAACTGATGTGTCTGGGTAAAGATCCGGGCTAACGTGACCGGAGGATGGGGGAGTATTCAGCGGATCAAGGCCTTGAATTGTGTCCAGCTGCTTTTTGTAAAAATCCGGGAACGTGTCATTACAGATCGGTTTACGCTGCAAACGAAGGGGCTTAGCTCGGGGGGGAGGGGGGA